ATTATAAACCTTATTTCAACCACTTATGGGCAAGGGGTTATCACATGGGGTTATGATTTTATATTAAAAATTATGGTTCCAACTCAAAACAAATCTCTTTTACATTATTTGAAAAGTATTTTGTGAGAAAATGGTTATGTCTCGTATCTATAACCACCTAACCAAAATAATTGTGATATGGCTTGAAATATGACATGACAGTTTTTAATCAACAACAAAATATTTTACAAATAAATTTAGGAACAATTGCAAAAATACCACTTTTAGTGTGTATATTTGCAAGAATGCCAGTTAGAGGTGTCTATTTGCAAAAATGCCACTAATTATAGATTTTTAAAAGCTAAATCTTAAAATTATAAACCATAAAAAATGTTTTGACCCCTAAATCCCTTTAAACCTTCAAAACTAAACCCTGATACAACATAGTTAACCCAAACATGAATGATATAATGAATTTTTTTTCTGAAAACTGGTATTTTTACAAAATTTTTGAAAATGTGGTATTTTTGAAAAGTGGCACTTGAAAAGTGACATTTTTTAAAAAATTTCTCATAAATTTATATTTGTTTTCATAAATAAATCAGAAGAGTTTTAAATCAATATTTTATGAGATTTTCGTTTTTCATAATAAAATTATATATAATTTTTCGTTTTTAATCTAAAAATAGTTTAGAAATTAATTATTGTAATAATAAAATTCTAGAACATTTTTATAGAATATATATATTCTTTTTAAAATTCATAATAAAGACTTACCAAATTTTTAAAAGAGTTTTTGATATGTTTTGTGAAAACAACTTTCCAAATTTAYAACAACAAAATAATTATTCTTTTGAAATGTTTTTTTAACACAATACGATTTGAAAGTAATAAAAACATTAATTAATTCGAAAGTAAAAAATTTTTTAATATGTGTTTCATTTATCAAAACTTATGATTACATATTTTAATGTTTTAAAATGTTAAATAATTTATTTATATTCTAAATTCTACTTAAAATATCCGGACAAGCCAAATTTAACATAATCTATACCTATGATACAATTTAAATAAGAGAAATTTCAAAAAATACCACTTTTCAAGTGTCACTTTACAAAAATGCCACAATTTTGAATCTTTACAAAAATGCCACTTTTTCAAAATTATTTTTTCTTTATATTATTTATGTTTGGATTAACTATGTTCTATTAGGATTTAGTTATGAGGGTTTATGGGGGTTTAGGGATCAAAACATTTTGGGATAATTACAAAAATGCCATTTTTTGTATGTACATTTGCAAGAATACCAC